CCAGTTATGGGATAACATCAAGGACATCATACATGAAGAAAGCAAAAGGTCATTAAAAAGACAGGAAAGAAAGAAAAGACCAAAATGAATTTCAGAAGAGACTCTAAAACTTGCCTTGGAACAGTAGCTAAAGCAAATGAAGAAATGATGAAGTAAAAGATCTGAAGAGAAGATTTCAAATGGAGGCTCAAGAAGACAAAACACAGTATTATAATGAAATGTGTAAAGACCTGCAGTTAGAAAACCAAAGAGAAGAACATGCCTTGCATTTCACAAGCTGAAAGAACTGAAGAAAAAATTCAAGCCTCAAGTTGCAATATTGAAGGATTTTATGGGAAAAATATTGAATGATGCAGAAAGCTTCAAAAGAAGATGGAAGGAATACACAGAGTCATTGTACCAAAAACAACTGGTCGACCTTCCACCATTTCAGGAGATAGCATATGATCAAGAACCAATGGTACTGATGGAAGTACAAGATGGACTGAAGGCATTGGCGAACATTAAGTCTCCAGGAATTGTCAGAAAGTCATTGAGATGTTTCAATACACAAAAGCAATGTTGGAAGTGCTCACTCGTCTATGCCAAGAAATCTGGAAGGCAGCCAACTCACTGGAAGAGATCCATGTTTATGCTCATTCCAAGGAAAGGTGATCCAACAGAATGTGAAATTATCAAACAATATCACTGATATCACAAGCAATAAAATTTTGCTGAAGATTATTCAAAAATGTTGCAGCAGTACATCGGACAGGGAACTGCCAGAAATTCAAGCTGGATTCAGAAGAGCATATGGAATAAGAGATATCGTTGCTGGTATCAGATGGATCCTGGCTGAAAGCAGAGAAGACCAGAAAGACGTTTACTTGTGTGTTATTGACTCTGCAAAGGCATTCAACTGGGTGGATCATAACAAATTATGGATAACATTGTGAACAACGAGAATTCCAGAACAGTTAACTCTGCTCATGTGAAACCTGTATATAGACCAAGAGGCAGTCATTAAAACAGAAAAAGGGATATTGCATGGTTTAAAATCAGGAAAGATATGTGTAAGGGTTGTATCCTTTCACCATACGTATTCAATCTCTATGCTGAGCAAATAATCTGAGAAGCTGGACTATATGAAGAAGAATGCAGCATCAGGATTGGAGGAAGACTCATTAACAACCTGCAATATGCAGATGACACAACCTTGCTTGCTGAAAGTGAAGAGGACTTAAAGCACTTACTGATGAAGATCAAAGACTACAGCCTTCAGTATGGATTACACCTCAACATAAAGAAAACAAAAATCCTCACAAATGGAACAATAAACAGCATCATTATGAACGGAGAAGAGATTGAAGTTGTCAAGAATTACATTTTACTTGGCTCCACAATCAACACCCATGGAAGCAGCAGTCAAGAAATCAAGTGACGACAGCAGTCCAGGGATAAGGACTAGAAGACAGGAGGGGACAGGAAAGCTGGTGATAGGGAACCCAAGGTTGAGAAGGGACAGTGTTGACATGTCATGGGGTTGTTAACCATTGTCACAGGGCAATATGTGCACTAACTGTTTAATGAGAAACTATTGGTTCTGCAAACCTTCATCTAAGGTACAAAAAAAAAAAAAGAATTATCTATGTGAGATCAAATTGACAACAGCAACTCAAAAGGTATGATGGGAAGCCTAGGGGACAGTGAGTTGAAGATAATGGTGATGGAATAATTTGGAAAAGGATAGCGAGAATAGCAGCACAACTGGAAGAATGTAATTGATGTCTCTGAATTGTACATGTAGAAACTTTCAAAATGGTGTAACTTTGGCTATGTATATTTTCACCAAAAAAAAGGTCCTCAAGGTCGAGAAGGGAGAGTGTTGACATGTCATGGGGTTGTTAACCAATGTCATAAAATAATATGTGTACTGACTGTTTAATGAGAAACTATTTATTCTGTAAACCTTCATCTAAAGTACAATAAAAAAATTTAAAAAAAAAATCAAGTGACGAATTGCGTTAGGTAAATGTGCTGCAAAAGATCTCTTTAAAGTTTTAAAAAATGAAGATGTCACTTTGAGGCTAAGCCATGGTATTTTCAATACGCATGCAAAAGCTGGACAATGAAAGGAAGACCAAGAAAGAACTGATGCCTTTGAATTATGGTGTTGGCAAAGAATATTGAATATGCCATGGACTGCCAGAAGAACAAATCTGTTTTGGAAGAAGTATAGCCAGAATGCTCCTTAGAAGCCAGGACGGTGAGACTTCATCTCATGCACTTTGGACAAGTTATCAGGAGGGACCAGTTCCTGGAGAAGAACATCATGCTTGGTAAAATAGAAGGTCAGGGAAAAAGAGGAAGACCTTCAAAGAGATGGACTGATACAGTGGCTGCAACAATGGGGTCAAACATAGCAACAATGGTGAGGATGGTGTGGACCCGGGAGTGTTTTGTTCTGTTGTACATAGGGTCACTATGATCAGAACAGACTCAATGGTACCTAACAACAACAACATCTATATTTAATAAAATCATATTATAAACCTTTACAGAAAATATTAATTCTCTAAAAATTGGAAAATTTAGATACTGATAATATATAGATTAATAAAAAATCTGTTTTAAATAGAAATGTATTTATAGAACTATAAACTATAAGTACAACTATATGATATAGTCATACAATATATGATCTAGCATAGCAATGATTGTAATGATGGCACAGGACCAGGCAGTGTTTCACTCTGTTGCAAATAGGATTGCAATGAGTTGGAACCAACTTGATGGCACCTAACAACACTAACGTAATATAGCATGAACCAAAAAAGTGGTGGTAATGATGATGGTGGTGATACTATACATTTTTTACCAAAAGTGAGAACCTGAGAAGACTAATAGTTAATGGAAATGTCCTTGAATAAAAGTGTGTATAATACTTTCTCTTGAGAAAATTGGATAACATTAAATATACTTTGAGAGCTCATAGTACAGAAAAAACACAGTGTAGTAAACATTACTTTTAAATAAAGATTTGTTGTATAAGATAAAAATCCTTCTAATTAATGTATTTCTTTTTAAGGCACAGTTCTACAGGAGAATTGTTTCATATCATAAAAATTTAATCATTTAATGTATTTCTTAAGGCAGAGTTCTACAGAATAGAGTGGACTCTCATTCCTCCAAATCTGAACCAAATAGCTCAATTAATTGCATTTCTTTTCCAGATTCTACTTTTATAAGATTTACTCAATAATGTAATTAGTAGGGTTAGATCATAGCATTAGCACAGGCTCTGTTTTACTTGTTATCAATCCATAGTATAATAAAAACAGTGTTCAAAAAGGTGACAGAAATACCAAATACTTGCACAGAGGGAATTATAAGCCCCCAAACTTTGCTTCCTCTTATAATGAAAATCTGAGAACTAAAATGATTAATCAATTTGTAGCAATCAGAGTGATACAAGGCCTGGAACTCAGCCATCTGCTTCCTCATCCTGTGTCCTTTCTCATTTATTATGCTGCCTCATCTAGTGTGAGTGATTCTGATATTGCTATGAAATGAGAAATAATGGATGATGTTACACAAAGATTAAAGCAAAACTATTTTCTCCACGTAAAAATTGTCTAATTTATATTAAGAATTAGGAATTCTTCATGTCATAAAACTATCTGCTGAAGCCTTCTACACTGAGAGCTTTTTAGGTCTGTGTACATTTATGTATGCTGTGATATCTAAGAGAAAAATTTGTAAACTTTTTCAAACGTACTTATTGTAAAAACTTAGTTATCCATTACTTGCCAATCTGCTACATTTTATATAGTTGACAAGGCATTTTCAAATCTGGTAATATGCATGAGTTGATAATATTTTGGATTCTTAAGATTATTTGCCATAATATAGTACTTCCATTTGATCATCTAAAAATACCCTTCTATTTATTTAGCTGGTAAAGGAGGTTAGAGATGTGTTAAATCTTTAAAAAAATTTTTTCAACACTAATCCTTAGTTTATTTATCTGTAAAATGACTGCAGCAATAGTACTTACCATGTATAAGTAGCTTCTGTGCAGAAGAAATAAAACATGTAGCTAGAGTATCCAAAACACTTGGTAACCTGCTTGACACATATTCCCATTGCCATTGAGTCGATTCCAGCTCCTAACAACCCTATAGGACAGAGTAGAACTGCCCCACCAGGTTTCCAAGGCTGTAATCTTTATGGAAGCAGAGTGCCACATCTTTCTCCCTCAGAGCAGCAGATGGGTTCGAACCGCTGACATCTGAGTTAGCAGCCAAGGCGCTTACCCACTGCACCACCAGGGCTCACCTGACACATATTACATATTATTAAATGTTAGCTATTGTTACAGCTGTAAAATAATAATTTAGCTACTATTAAAAACATGGTGATATTAAAATCACAAAATGTGAAGCATGACCTAAAAAAAGGAGCCTGCTTAAAACAATGTATATCTCTCTATTAAAACGAGATTTTTTTAAGGTTAAGTCAACCAGATAATTTAAGTGTTGTTTCTAAGATATTAAAAATGACTCACATTAATACTTTTAAATGGCAAGATAATCAATATGTTTCAAGTGGCAAAGGAGCCTGGGGGCACAGTGGCTAAGAGTTTGGCTGTTAACCAAATAGTCAGCAGTTCGAACTCACTAGCCACTCCATGGAAGAAAGATGTGGCTGTCTGTTTCCATAAAGATTACAGCCTTGGAAATCCTAGGGGCAGTTCTACTCTGTCCTATAGATTTGCTACAGAGCCGTTCAGAGTCAGAATCGACTCAATGGCAATAAGTTTTAAGATTTGTAAAGCTGAAATTTAATACAACTTATCACATACGCACATGCTGTGCAAAACAAGACAAATTCTATACTTATATTAAATATTTCTCATATGATTAAAAATATCAAATTAAGATAAAAAAACTACACATACAATGAATTTACTTAAATTTAATTTTAAATAGAGAAAATATTTCCATAATATATGTACCTACCTGGAGTAGGCAAACAATCTACTGCCCCAAAGATCATGATTCCCTCTAGGTCCAGAATGAAAATAGCAGGAATCTGTCCCATCAAACATATTCAGTCCATCCTCTGAATTTTTTGAAGCATGGCTGTGTACCACATCTAAGAGGACGGTAATGCCCATCGAATGAGCTGTGTCAACCAGTTCTTTTAGCTCTTCAGGTGTTCCATAACGACTAAAGGTAAAGAACACAGCAAAAACAAGATGACATCATAGTCAAAACAATCAGTCTTTTAATATACGCCAATTGTTTTTACCAGTGCAGCACTAGATATTTTAAATATGGAAATACTGTATGACGTGATTCTTAGATACAAGTCAAAGTTGTTTAACATTTGTTATAAAGCAAAATTTAAAGCATTCAATAAAATAAATAATAATAATAATAATAGTAATTTAATCCAGGCCATTAAATGTAGATGGGTATCTCAACCAAAATTCACTTTTTGAGTATATAAATAGTAAAACTCTGCTCCTCTATCCTCAGAGCTCCTAGCTGGTCAGTGGTGTGTGGTGGTTCCTGCTCACATACCTGAATATCGCTTTGGGTGTGTATGGCTGGGGTAGGGGTGGGAATGCCCTTGACGCCTTCATTGAGGCCAATCCTCCTGCACATATTCCAAAGCCAGAATGCCCTCAGGTACCAGTGGGCCAAGAGATGTGTCCTGTCTGCAACCATTCCAGAGGAAAAGATGGGTAACTCACCCATCAATATGACCTGTGTATGTGTTAGAAGTCAGCACGGAATAGAAAACAAAAAGCACTGCCCGGAAGAAGACTTTCTATAACCATAGACAGCATCATTTTTTCCCTTTAAATAAATAATCACTCTTGTGATTCTTTTCTGTCTCTCTTCCTCACTAGACCATATGTTCCTTGTGGGCAGGGGCTGTGACCGTCTGGTTCCTCATGTCCTAATACTGTGCTTAGTACAAAGAAGGTTTCCTGATAGCCAGCTCCACTAGGCAGCAAGAGTTTGTTTTTTGTTTTTTTTTTTAATATCAATATGAGCATGTCATCCTCTACTTCAAATCACACTTGTTTCCACTGTCCCTAGGATGAAGACCATTATTGTCATCATGGCCTACTGCACTGCCTAATCTTGCTCCATCTAATAACTTTCGCCTTATGATAAAGCTACCCTTTCCTCAATTTATCCCAGCCACCTAGATGTTTTTACACTCATAAGCAGCATGGCCTTAAAGTTTCTTTCATTCATTTATCCATTCATATGATTGTTCAATTAATAAATATTGAGCTACCAATCATGTGCCATTGAATGTTCTATAATCTGGGGATACGGCAATGAAGAAAATATACATTACTACCTCATGGAATTTACATTTTAGTTGGGAGATAACAAATAAATAACCAAAATCTGCAGAATGTCAAAGGAAAGCTGAGGATTGCCAGCAACCACTAGAAGCTCAGAGAGAGGCGTGGGGACAGTTCCTCTCTCAGACCCTTTAGAAAGAAACAACACGGCCAATACCCTAATTTGGACTACTGGCCCTCAGAGCTATAAGAAAATAAATCTCTGTTCTTTAAAGCCACCCACTTTGTGGTATTTTGTTATGGCATCTATAGGAAACTGAGACAATGTGTATATGCCACCATACTGTCAGCTCCATAAGGTAGAGACAATGTTGGACTTGTCATATGTTAGGACTTAACATGTGTTAAAGCTCAAAGCATGGCTGAGTGAGTGAGTGACTATGTGCTGTGAGTGGGCCGGTGCTGGGGAAGTGGGGGAAGGCTGGTATGCCTGTGCGCATATGTGCTTCAGCGTATCCATGTCTGAATGCGTTAGACTGATGTTGTCGAAACCCACAGCAAATGGCCTAGCTAGAAAAGGATTAAAATCTAGGTCAACAGATTTCCAGACCAATTTACATTGTTCCTTGCAGTCATTCAAGTCAATAGTACCTTCTATTGCCTAGAAGCCCATGATGTCTTTCTGCCCAGAGGACCACATTCTTTGGATTTCAGTCTGGCAGGAAAGGCAGCCCTTCTACGGGTTGTATATGTCCTACTGAGGGACTCCTCGGTCACCTTCCTACATGAGTCAGTCTTGTTCCAGAAAAGGAAGAGAGCGCTGGCAAAAACACCTTCTGTAGGACACGATTATGTGACTAAAGTGGAGCCTCCAAACATGTAATAATTTCTTGACATCCTTTATCAGAAATCATTTCATGAAAAGCAACCCCTAAGGCTGGATTGGAAAAGTCTATGATCTCAGTAGAATAAAATGCTCAGTTTCTATTAACTCTGTTAACACTAAACTAGGTCACAAACCACTGTTTAATAAAAGGTAAATATGCATTTTTTGTTTGCTCAAAAGGAAAATGACTGCAGCGAATATTTCATTTTACCTTGAAGCTGCAAAGAAGCTTGTGATCTGGTAACCAAAACTTGCATAGTAAGCATGTTCCATGATTGCCATCAGCTGAATGCAGTTGTATCCTATTTAAGCAAAGGTCAAACAGAGATTAAAAGCCACACACATTAAAAAAAAAAAGTAATAGATCCTATAAAAATATCATCCTTGTTCCAAAGACAGTTTACATTTTATATGTAATCTAGAAGGTTTGGTCTTCTTGAATAAGTTCTACCACCTTAACATCTTTAGCTTGTCTGACCTTCTAACACAAAATTTGACCGTTAGTTTCTTGAGGATTCTGACTAGCTATTTGAAATGTCTTCGTCTTAACAAGCAATAAATGATATGCAAATATACTCTTAATTTGGCTTTAGAATATTAAAGATTGTAATCTGCATATGCTAAACTTGTACTTTTAATATTCACACTGAAGATTATGAATGCTAAAGAAAAGTAACTGATTACACGCCATATATTTTTTATTTTACCATTTTCTTTACATTTCAAAGTCATTTCTACTATATATCATATGAAATATCACTCAGTAGCTTTTACACAAAGTAGCTTTTACAAAGAGCCAGCATTAATGCTTTTACTTTTCACTATTTTTTGCCCTTATAAAATTACTCCAAATTTGCATGTATACACACACTCTCATGCACGCACCTCATCTTCCTTTCTCTATCCAAAAATGTTTTGCTTTAATGCTAAATGAACTGTAAAAAACCCGTTCCCATCGAGTTGATTCCGACTCATAGGACAGAGTGGAATTGCCCCATAGGGTTTCCAAGAAGGGACCGGTAAATTCAAACTGCCAACCTTTTGGTTAAAAGCCAAACTCTTAACCACTATGCCACCAGGGTTTCCAACGCTAAATGAAGTGACTCAAAAAGTATATATTATATAAACAAGTTCATAACACTTAAAAGCATTTACTAAGGTATTTTTCATGTAAGCAAATAATACTTAGAGAAAAAAGAAGTTTGATCTTTAAAACTATGAAAAGTGGGTTTTCCTTCTTCAAAGTATAATTTGCTAAACTTATCAAATATTATTTTATTGCTCTGAAAGTAACATTCCTGTAACATACATAACACAGATTTTTATTCTGATCTCAAAGTTAAATTCAAATCAACAGAAGTTCTATAACTTTCTAAAGGTTTATACAAGTTTATATTCAATACCAAGCCACTTAAATATATAACTTTTACTGGTAGTTTTGTAAACAAACAAAAGTGTCAGATTAATTTCATTCTTTTTGCTTGATATCTTGTAGCTTCTCATACACACATTTCAGCATGCCATTAATACTGGAACATTTACAATTCAGAATTAGAGATTTATAAGTCTAAAATAAAGCATTAAGTTCTCTGCAATTTCATAATCTACTAGGAAGTTATTACTGTTGGCTTTTTATTGTTAAAAAGTCAAATAAACTCTGATAGGTCTGATATAGATACATAAATAAATTGTTCAGATAACATAAATAATTATATATCTTATAATTAAAATGTGCCCTACAGTTTGTAGTTTATTTCTCTATTATGTAATAAATATTATTTGTATGATCAAACATCAATTAACAGTTTTTACTGTTAATTTTTATGGGACTAAGCATTCATGGATTCATTTCTACTCCAAGCACTGGACTAGGCAATTCATACACAAGTAAGAGAATGCTTGTTCGGCTGAAGTTCATGCGAGAACCAGGTTATAAACAATTTATACACTATCACAGAACATTTCAAATATAACATGTTTTAACATAATATCTATTAAAAACAATTCATTCTCCATAAATACAATTAGTTAGGGTGTATGGAACCTGACCTCACCATCACAGATGATGTTAAGATGCACTGATAACTGAAACCTCTAACCATGAGTTGCCAACTTTTCCTCCAGTCAAAATTTAGGCTGCCTACCAGAAGCATAACAATCAAATGTACTTTTATCTTTCTATCTAGCTATTGGAGCAAGTGCTAATATGCTGTGAAATTATAAAAACTCATTACTTATAAAAAGAAAAATCACAGGTTTAAAGCATACTGAATCAATAATTCAGCAGTATGTTATTCAGTCTCCTGGTTGCTCTCCTGAAGACAGGGTCTAATATGAACATCTAGCACAACAGGTCTCACCCAGAGGATCCCCCACAAATGTCTGTCAGGTTAGTCATACAGACAGGCACGATATACAATGACTGATGCAAAATGAGTTCCAGTTACCTTACAAATATAACGTATTTCCCTAACAGACTAAAATGAACAGGCTATAATCAAGGACCACTTAATTGGATAAAAGTTTTCTCCTGTAGAAAAGTAATTACACTTACATATTTATCTACAATTTTGGAAGCCATCAGTTCACATTACTTTAAATTGAAATTGAAATAATATCTTGAATTCTTATGCTCTATCTTATTCCATTTCTCTTTTCTATGCTATCAACTATTACAGGGCAATCTGAGAAGCCTAAAATAAAATGTATTTCCATTACATATTTAATCTCTTAACACAAAAAGAGACATTGGTAATTAGCTTTTCTCATAAGAGAACAGACTCATTAAAATTTTATACGAAAAAAAATCACAGCTATTACTTACCAAGGTCTTTAATTCTTGGTAGTACATTGCATGTAAAATGTTTATAAGAAGCTACTTTTCCTTCATGGGAAGAAATTCCCACGTGAGATTCATAAATTCTTAGACTTCTTGGCTTCTTTGGTCTGGAATGCTTAAACTACAGAATATAAAATTGCAAACAGAATTAGTCCAGGAATGCAGGTATGACACCAAACAATAAAGCATGTTAAATGGAAGGGTGGATCAACTCAGTCAAAGACTTGGAGCATATAAAAGGAATTGGCTGCATCCATCAAATTTTCTTTAGATCAAAAAAAAAATTTTTCTTCTAGGATCTTGTTAATAAATCTAATTTAAAAGAAGAATCATGTATTGGTTTGATATTAAATGCCTTATCATTAAGTAAAGGTATTTTGTGAGCCTAAGCACTAATAAATAATAATAAATGATAATAAAATCTTAAATGTTAACCTAATTCATAAATGTATGAGGTAGCAGTCCCTATTTTTTATTCCTAAGGACACTTATCCTGTTTCAAGTCTATGACAAGGAGAAATGTTACATCACTGAAGAATTTTTCATGAATCAGAAATAGTGCTTAATTTTTTTTTTTTCCAGCATTCCTTATGGGTCAGAACGTAAAGATTAATTTTTTTAGTGTTTTTCCTCCCTAAACTCAGAAACTTAGAATAAAAAAAAACTCACTTCTACATATTATTGGATAGAGATGATGGATTCAAATATTTATAGCACAACAAAAACATTCTAAGATATAAAATTCTAAACTCTAAATACTATAAAAGTAAAAATTAATTTTCCTAGAAATACTGGAACAAGCATTTATTCAAAGATTTGTTGTTCTCACTTTATATGGATGTTCCGGATCCCAGTGTATCCAATCATAATTCACATTACAACCTTCACGAGTCACATACTTCGCCCACGGTGAAATACGATACAAGATCTCTCCACTTTTACTAGTAATAACTACCTAAAAACAGAATGAGATGTTATTCTTTAAAATATTATCAAAACTCTAAGATAATACATAATAATTTATGAGCACTGCTACAAGTAGGAAGGGGAGGAAAAAGCCAGAGGTGCGACCTTAAACAATATATTTAAATTCTATGGACCTTACTTTCCTCATCTGCTATAGTATATGATCCTTAGAGTCACTTCCAGCTGGAATATTTTTTAATTCTCTAGCAGTTTCCTTCCTTGCAAACCAGTCATTAGAGTGGCTGATTAAAGTAATGTACAGTGAACACTAAAAAGGCACTAATATTTGGAAGCTATTATCAGTAAATCAATCAGCAGGAGGAAATATTTAAAGGAATAAGTTTGAGTTGCATCATCACCTCTTTCTTTTCCTTTTCATGGCAATTAATGATGACATTTTCAGGAAGATAAAAGAGAAAAATGAGTTTTCTTTAACACCTGATTGTGCATGCACACATACACACACACACCCTACACTATAAATATCTTTTACCCCTTCTCAGTTTCTTCTACACCCTATTCCCATTATGCTTTATCATATAAATCCATTTCCCTTTAATCATCCATCCCCATATATTCCAGTAGTAATATTTTCATTATCAATAATAAAAAATAAAAAGATGCAAATACAATTTTACTAAGTCCATCATCTTAGAGTTAGTAATTAAAAAAGGAATTTGAATTTATCCAGAATGCTTAGATAAGAAACTGAGCCACATAAAAAAGCTTATGAGTGACTGAAATTATAGATCTTTAAAAATTCCTTTTTTTTTAAATTAAACTTTCCAAAAGCAGTCACAGGATGATCAAAAATGTTCAGATTAGGAGCTCTATTACACCCTCAGCTTTGAGAGAGAACATATTCTTTAGACTCGTTTAATAGAGAAAAGCTCAAGTACTCATAATTCTTGGTAATTAAATATTTGTATAATGCTTTATAGTTTAGAAAGGACTTTCACATTCAATATCTCATTTGATTCCAGAGAATCATTATAAACCAAATATTAAGTAAGATTAAGTGACATGCCAAAAGTCCCAAAGTCCCAAAGTCACTGAGTAGCAGAGTCAAAAGCTGAACTGAGAGCTTCCAATATTCACTTCCTTGCTCCTAACAGACCTCCACAGCACTTCCTCCCAATGCCAAAAGAGAATAAATCATGGTTTATGATGGAGGAGACAGGTGAGTAGTGAAAAGAAATATCTAACTTGCATGAATTCAAGTCTCTCTTTCTTCTTCATTATGCATCTCACTTACTGAAAACGATCACAGCCAGGTATTGCTATTATTCAGGTAACTGTCACAAAAATATGAATCACATAGGACCAACCCACTTAAGGAGTATTTTACCCCAAATGATATCTCCCTTAAGCCACAAGAATTTTTAATATAATATACAACAGTAACATGTATAAGAAAAGACATTTTTGCCCATTCATCAATCCAGAATTGACTATGGAGAAATAGCATACTAGAAATCAATTTTTAATTAATAGCACTCTGCCTATTATCATTGTTAGGTGCCATTGAGAAGGTTCCAGCTCATAGTGATCCTATGCATACCAGAACGAAAGACTTCCCAGCCCCCCATCATCTTCACAATTGTTGCTATGCTTGAGCCCATTGTTGTAGCCACTGTGTCAATCCATCTCATTGATGGTCTTCTTCTTTTTTGCTGACCCTCTACTTTACTAAGCATGATTGCCTTCTCCAGGGACTGAACCGTCCCGATAACATGTCCAAACTATGAGAGATGCAGTCTTGCCATCCTTGCTTCTAAGAAGTACTCTGGTTGTACTTGTTCCAAGACAGATTTGTTCGTTCTTTTTGGTAGTCCATGGTATATTCAATATTCTTTGCCAACACCACCATTCAAAGGTGTCAGTTCTTCTCTGGTCTTCCTTATTCATTGTCCAGCTTTCATATGCATATGAGGCAATTGAAAACTCCACGGTTTGGGTCAGGCGCACTTTAGTCCTCAAGGTGACATCTCTGCTTTTCAACACTTTAAAGAGGTCTTTTGCAGCAGATTTTCCCAATGCAATGCATAGTTTGCTTTCTTGATTGCTGCTTCCGTGGGTGTTGATTGTGGATCCAAGTAAAACAAAATCCTTGACAATCTCAATCTTTTCTCCATTTATCATGATACTGCTTATTGGTCCAGTAGTGACGATTTTTGTTTTCTTTATGTTGAGGCATAATCCATACTGAAGGATGTGGTCTTTGATCTTCATCAGTAAGTACTTCAAGTCCTCTTCACTTTCAGCAAGCAAGGTTGTGTCATCTGCATATTGCAGGTTGTTAATGAGTCTTCTCACATGCCAAGCAGGAGGCCTGGGTTCTTTACTGGCCAATGCAACATTCCATTCAATCTGCCTAATCCACCCAATTATCCATTCTTTCTTTTGCAAATGACTCTACAATAACCCCACCACCACAAACCTGATCATTAACCAGTAGTCATTTTCAAAGGTGTCTACTGGCAGAGAAAAATATTTGAATTTTTAAGTAAAGAACAGTAAGAATCTCCATGCTGAATATAATTTCACTATTCTTTGGAGCATTTAATTTGTTTATCTTGCTGTACACACAAATATCTTCATTGGCCACTGAAGAGTGATGAGTTTTGGGAAGAACATTCTCCATTGTTCTCTCGTACTCCTACATGTTTTGGGTATACCAAGACTGGAATTGCATTGGGAAAGTCTGCTGCAAAAGATCTCTTTAACATGTCAAAAAGCAAAGATGTCACTTTAAGGACTAAAGTGTGCCTGATCCAAGCATGGTGTTTTCAATCGCCTCATATGCATGCAAAAATTGGACAATGAATAAAGAAAACCGAAGAAGAACTGATGCCTTTGAATTATGGTGTTGGCAAAATATATTGAATACACCATGGACTGCCAAAAGAACGAACAAATCTGTCTTGGAAGAAGTACAGCCAGAATACTCCTTGGAAAAGAGGATGGCAATACTTCGTCTCACATACTTTGGACGTGTTATCAGTAGGAACCAGTCCCTGGAGGAGGACATCATGCTTAGTAAAGTAGAGCATCAGCAAAAAAGAGGAAAACTCTCAAGGAGATGGACTGACACAGTGGCTGCAACAATAGCCTCAACCATAACAACTATCACGAGGATGGCATAGGACTGGGCAGTGTTTTGTTCTGTTGTGCACAGGGTAGCTATGGGTCAGAACAAGCTCAATAACACCTAACAACAACAAGAGTACAAGGCCCTGACTGCTCTTTACCTGGACAATTCTCAGTGTTGTGTTTGTAGCAAACAACCCCAAGGGATGAAATAATGTCCCCCTTGAAGACACAGAGAAGGTCTGTTTACTGCTTGCTCTAAAAGAGTGATTCCTCTAGTTCCATATTCCTCTGCTACAATACAGACTCATCCACTGTGTGAGCAGCATCCATCTGATCCTCATAGTGTAACATCCATGGGACTTGAAGGATAAGGTGAACAAATGTAAATATGATGTGTATACTGCATAATGTGCCATAAGTAATAAAGTCATTTGTCTCTGACCCAGGAGTTTTATGTCTTTTGCAGAATCCGTGAAATAATAACATAATTGTTACAAAATTGTTATTGATTAAAATATAACAAAAACATAATAACATAAATAATAAATAAAGTTAACTTATCAGCTTGCAACTAAACAGTTGCTGTCAAGTTGATTGCAACTCATGGTGACCTCATGTGTTTCAGAGTAGAACTGCACTCCATAAGGTTTTCAATGGCTGTGATCATTTGGAAATAGACTGCAAGGCCTTTCTTCCAAGGTGCCTCTGGATAGATTTGAACCATCAATCTTTAAGTTCGTAGCTGAGAACTTAACCATTTGTGCTACCCAAGGAGCTTGTAGATAGGGTAAAATCAAACCCTAGGCCTGAAAATGGATTATTTTTCACTGAATGATGTCAATCTACGTCAATACGCTTTTTAAGGGCTCATATCTTTTGTTTCCAAAAGTTCTGCTTCATCTTTCTTTAACTTTCATTTGTCATTTTTTTATCTGGTTTTATAGTTGCTTCTTGGGATAGAGACATCTAATTATTCCACTACTTCTTTCTTTCTTAGTAGTAAAATTGTAGCCCAACATACAGCTAGCTATCTTTCCAAGACTTCCTGGCAGTGAGGTTTGACCATAAGACTAAGTTATCTTCAAAGAAATGAAATGCAAACTGATGCCACTTTTGGTTGATGGGCTTTAAGACAGTGGGTATACACTTTTTGTACTCTCCTTCTCCTCTCTTCCCAGTGGCCGGAATGATGACTAAAACAATAACTTCACAAGTCATATTAAAGGTACATCCTAGGTCCCTGAAAGATGTGTAAAACAAAGCTTCCCACTAAATCTAGAACATTCAGCTGCAACTGTTACATAACAAAGAAAGAAATTTCCGTCATTTAGTCCCCTGAAGTTTGGAGGAAATTTTGTTTCATTAGTTTAGGCTTTCCTAATGAACACACTTGCCTAACATAGCTACCTCATCTGACTTTTGATCTGCTGTTTCTAAAACGCTGTGACCTTGGAAACCAACTAAGTGTATTATAATAGTGGGGGAAAAAAAAAAAAAGGAAACCAACTTGGAGAGATGTTCCAATAAGTAAAGAATATGAATGTCTGGATTAGACTGCTCACAGAAACCACCCCCTCGTTAGTTCCTGGAGTTTTGCTCTGCTCACTTTAATTCAGATTCCAGATAAAAAGATTTTCCAGATGATGAGACAATTTTTTTTTTCCTGTAAAAATGTAACATAACATTTGCCAATTCAACATTTTTTAGGTGTAAAATTTAGTGAGATCAATCACATTAGTCATGTCCTGCAACCATCACCCATAATCGTTGTCAAATTTCTAATTCACCATAAACAAACACTCACTAAGAACTATTAGCATGCTATAGCAAATTACAAAAAAAAAGAAACCTAGCTCAAATGATCTTTCAGTGATAGTAAATCTATATGTAGAAGAT